TCTGGGGGGCCGTGTGTGGCCCCCGGAGCTCGGGCTGAGTGGGGGATGGCACGTGCTGGGGAGTGTGGCATGGGGCGGGTGCTCACCCCAGACCGGGGCGGCTGGAACCCAGCTCCCAGCCCAGACTGCAGGGTGGACACCCTTCAGTAACCCGAGCTGGGCGTGCCGGGCAGGGTGGGGTGAGGGGAACAAAGGGCTCTCTCCCCGTGAGCAGCGGGAAGTGGGCCGAGCCAGGACTCACCTGCCGGCTGCACAGCGCAGCGGGCAAAGTCCCTGAGCCCGGTGAGCAGGCGTGTGCAAGTGGCAGCCCCTGGCTGTGCCCCCCGCGGTTCCGTCTGCCCGGGGTCTGGAGGCTGCCCCCGCCGCCCGGGCATTAGGAGTCACGTGGGGTCCTGTGACCCACAGACCCGCACTCACGAGGAGCCTGGAGACTGAAGGCGAGGTGGGACGTGACCGGAGCCTCGGGCCCCAGCTGGGCGCCGACAGGCCTGTGAGCCCCGCCCCTGCCTGGCCCGGCTGTGCCAGGCTCCGGGCCTGCTTGCACCCAGCCCCCTCGGTCTCCCCGCTCAGAGCTGGTCATGCGGACTAATGAGGGCGTGCTGCTCGGCTGGGCCCTGGCAACTGGCCCTTCCCTGTCTTCAGTGGTGGGGGATGGGCCTAGAGGGCTCAGGGTCATCAGGGACAATGCCACGTACCCAGGAGCACCGTTCGCTGCGGGGCCCAGCATTGGGCCCCTGTGCTGGCAGCCCCATTCTGCCTTGGCCTCCTCCTGGGGTCTCTGGCCCCAGGTCTCAGGGAGCCAGTCTTGGGGGGCCCAGGTGACTCCATCCCCATAGGGGCCACAGGATCACCCCACACAGCTGCCCAGGTGGGATGCCCTGAGTCAAGGGCAGCCCCCAGCCCAGGGCAGGCCCCCTGCCAGTGGGGAAGCTGAGTGGAGGAGGGTCCAGGCCTGCTCCAGTGGTCCCTGGGCAGTGGGCGGGCACCTGTGGGCTCTGGTGATTACCCCGTGCCAGGCCTCTGCTCTGTTTGGCCTCCGGGGGTGGGGGCGGGGGCAGCTGGATGTCCGGGTGGGGCCCATGCGGGGACAGTCACGAACATCTCCATCCTGGTTTGATCCATCTTTGGTGGCCGTCTGCCCGTCTGCTTGCGTCCCTGACTGCTTGTCTGTGTGTACGACCGGGGCGAGGGCAGCAGTGACAGGGCTTGCGACCTGCCCAGCAAGTGCCTGTGTGGGCCGTGCTGAGATGCGCAAGTCCAGAAGCTCGGGGGGCGGGCGGGGATGCCCACGGCTGTGCGGGGCTGTGTGTGACCGTGGGGTGGTGGGAGGAGCGCATTGCGCTCCTCTCTGGACACTGGCTCGGCAGGGCAATGCCTCCTACTCCTGGCCGGCCCTGCACATGTTACCCTGAGGCTGGGGTCCCTCTGCTGCCCAGGGCTGCAAGCCCGGCCCTTCTGCGAGGCCCCTCCCCGTCCTGCTGTCCCCAGGCCCCAAGGTTCTCTGCCTGGGGGCCCGACTCCCGCCCCTGGCTCTTTCCAGGGGAAGAGGAGGAACTTGAGCTGGCTGCGGTGTCCTGTGCCCTGGAGTTTAATATTTCGAGCTCCAGCAGGGCTGCTCCCATCTGCTGCAGGCGGGCAGCTCTCGTATTCATTACCGCCCTGCCAGGCCCGGCCGAGCCCTGCCGAGAAGGCCTTGGGGGACGTGCGACTCTTGTGGGGAGCCTAGTCCCGGGTCTCGGAGGGTGAGGATCCTGACCCCCAGTGCCCAAGTCCTTCTACCAGTGCCTGTCCCATAGCCCCTCAGAACTGGCAGCCTAGTCTGGCCTCTGAGGCCTTTGGGAAAGATTTGCCGCGCATGAAATTCTGGAGCCTGCAGAGGGGGCACGGTGGACGTGGGCCATGTGGGCAGTCCGAGTGGGAGGAGAGGGTCGCTGACCCCCACGCGGTGCAGCCTCGGGCTACCTACCTCTGACTCAGTCTGCGAAGTGGGTGATAGCACTTGGTGCCACTTTCCCGGGGCTGGCACGTGGCAGCCGCCCGGCTTCCATGCGGGACCTTGGGGGCCTGGCTTTGGGTGTGCCGGGCCCTTGCCCAACAGTGGTGGTCCGTGCCGAGCTGGGTGGGCAGGAGCATCCGGGTGCCTGGCGAGCTGGGATGTGAACTTAGCCCTGGAGAGAGGCACCGGCCAACAGGAGGGGCTGCTGGAGGTGTAGATGTGGGCTCCCCAAGTGCAGCCTCACCTGGACCTTGCTCCTGCCGGGGAGCCTCTGGCTGGGAGATGTGGCTGGTGGTGCCCTGCTCCCCTGAGAAGGCAGACCTGCAACCCTGGGAACTGCCTTAGAGGCTTCTGGAGACCCTGAGGCTTTGGGCTTCTGGTGCTGGCTGGGGTCTGGCCCTTGGGAGGGGTGGGTCACTTGGGATGCGGTGATCCTGGGGTGGGGAGGGGATGGGTGAGGCCTGGGCTGCAGGTGTTTGGACATCCTGAGCCTGCAGGGTCCAGGTGGAGGGGACTTCTCTGATGAGGGCAGCCCCCCACTTCTCAGAACCTTTGAAGGGCCAACGGAGTGTTCGGCTCTTGCGCTGGTCTGACACCCGCGCTGTACCCGCTCGGTCCCGCTGGAGGAGCCCTGTGGCTGGGCACAGCACTTTCACTGGCGTGCCTCCTGCCCTAGATGAAGATCTCCTTCAACGACAAGAGTCTGCAGACTACGTTTGAGTACCCCCCCGAGAGCTCCCTGCAGGAGGAAGAGGCAGAGGCCGAGAAGGGGAGAGACGAAGAGGAGGAGAGCGAGGAGGGGGAGGGGGAGGAGGAGGCATCCGGCTCAGACCCGGCAGCGGCTGCGGCGGAGAAGCCCTTCACGCTCTTCCTGCCCCGAGCCACGTTCGTGAACAGCGTGGGCCCCGAGAGCCCTCGGCTGCCGGACGGCAGCTCCGGTGAGTGCCCGCCTGTGGGGATGGGCAGCCCAGGGGGTGGCCCGGGCCACATGATCATGCAGCCGCACATCCACCGGTGTGCCTGTTGGCCCGCAGGCCTGTCCAGCTACACTCCGAAGCACTCCATGGCCTTCAGCAAGTGGCAGGAGCGGGCGCTGGAGCATGTGCCGAGCACAGAGGAGCCCCAGTCCAAGGAGGTCATGGTGAGCGGGGTGGGGCAGGCGGGCGGACACCCAGGGAAGCGGGGCGTGGCGGGGGGTGGGCGTGGTGCTCCAACGCCTGGACAAGCCCCGTCGACCGCCTCTGTGTCCCTCTCTCAGCTCACCCCTGCCGGTCAGAATGACCTCGCGGACTTCCGAAGCGAGCCAGCCCTCTACTTCTGAGCCCCGCCCTAGCAGGATGACGAAGGCTGAGCCCCAGGTGCCCGGGAACTGCACCCCTTCTGCCCCACCAGGCCTGCCCTCCCACATCCCGCTCTCCCTCCCTGGGGCCTCCCAAGTAGGCCGGTACTCGAGGCCTGAGCCTGGGGCACCCGGGACTCACTCGACCCCGGCTCGGGGGCACTGCCTGTGGGGGAGGGACGGTGTCCTGCTGTACGCCACGCCCAGCGGCTGTCGGGTGCGTCTGGGGTGGGGGCTGATGGGACCCTGACACCACCCCCAGCCCACACTCCCCACGTCAGCCACTCCGTTTCTGATGAACGGCAAGTCTTTTCCCGCCTCTGATGACAGACCAATAAACAGCCCTGGATGAGGCCGCCTCTACCTTCCTTGCGTGGTCCTCGGCTGGAAAAAGGGGGAGCGGGGCTCAGGTCTGCAGGGCTATGCTGAGGCACTGGCAGCTGGGAGGCAGCCACCCACCCAGGGTGTGATGCAGGCCCAGCTTGGGTTTCTGTGCCCGGGGGAGGCAGTCCCGGCTGACACCCCACACTGCACAGCCCTGGTGCCCCAGGCTCTTTCCCCACCCCTGTGGCCCTAGTTGCCCTGCTTCTCCTCCCAGCCATCCCCTTGGCTGGGAGAGGGACTTCCCTGTGCCTACCCTGTGAGCACCCCCAGTCTCTGGGGCTCCCCTTGCCTCCCAGAAGCGGCTCAGTGGGAGCTATGGTGGGAGGTGGGACGCCAGGTAAGCTCTCTGGGGTCTGGAACTCTCTGTGGGCCCGGGTGGTTGCTGCAGCTGTCGGGTCCGAAGTGGTTTCCCTGAAGGGCCAGAGCCTGGGGGTGGATGAAGTGCAGGGCAGGTGGTGGGCAGAGCCTCAGGGATCTTGCCTCCTGTTTGGATTGGAAGGTTCCCTGACCCACAAGGGCCTGCAGGAATGCTGTGGCAGGCAGACCACTCCCCTGGGGTAACGTCAGCAGGGAGGTCTGATAGATCTGGAAAAGTGACAGAAGACAGAGCTGCCCACTAGGGAGCGGCTCCCGGCTGGGCTGACTGCCTGTGCCGAGACAGGCTGTTCACAATCCTGGCATCAGATGCAAGTCTTTTCCTCTTGGAGCATCAAGCCCACGGGAAATGCCACCTGGCCAGGCTTGGGAGGGAGGAGGGCATTTTCTTGGGAATGGTGGGCCCAAGTTTCTGCAGACCTTCTCAACCAACACATGCTTCCTAAACCCCCTATCCCCCACGGACAGCAATTGCAGGGACCCCATGGGGGCTGACAGGCCAAGGCAGGTGGACCCATGGAGGACTCGGGATGGAAGGCAGGGCCCTGGGCTGCATGGGAGACTGGCCTGTGACCAGAGAGTGGGAGCAGGGGTGCTGCTGTCCGGCAGATTCTGGAATTACTGAGCTGGGGTGCAGCCACTCCCAGGGGACCTGAGCGCAGGAAGAGCGTCTCCTTGGGCCAGGCCTTATGCTAGAAACCAGGACCAGTGGCCCTGATGGGAGAGGTGGGTGACGGGGGTCACATGAAACGCTTAGGGGCACCCTTAGCTCTGAACGCAAGGCCGGTCACAGAGAAAGCCATCCCTTCACGGAGGAGCCGTATTACAACTGGACAAGGATTCGTATTTTGATTCTAGGGGGGCCCGGCAGCCCCACACTCCTGACACAGGCAGCAGGCTGACGTGGATCTTTACAAAGACAATCTTTACTGACAGTCACAGGCCCCAGGCAAGCTCTGAGGTGAAGGAGGGCCCCAGCCCCTCCCACACTTGCCTGGACACCTGCGGGCCGAGGGAGGGGTGACAGGACTCCCAAGGTGCTGAGACCAGAAGTGGGACTTCCCCGCGGCCCCAGGCTGGTGTGGAGGCCTCAGTGGGACCCTGAGTAGAGCTGCCCTCCCCAGCGCCTGTGTGAGCTCAGAGCCAGGATCCCCACCTGGTGGGCTACGCTCAGGTCTTTCCTGTCACCCAGAGCCAGTGAAGGTTGGCAGCTGCCTCTTGGCACCCCAGACAACAAGAGGGAAACGCTGCTGCCGTGAAGGACAAAGACGCTTTGAAGACAGACTTGCCGGGGGCTGAGCCGTAGAGGAGGCGCAGTGGAGGCAGGCCCTCCGCCTCTGGCCCCATCAGCTGTCCTTGCCTCCGCTGCTCCTCTGCTCGGGGGCTGCGGCCTTGGTCAGGTTCCCCGCTTCCCTCTTCAGGACACTAAGCAGAGTCTGCGAGCTCTCCAGGATCTGCGAACAGAGACACCAGCCGGTTAGCACTGCTCCTCCTGTTGGAAAGCTCCCGCGGCCCGGCCCCCCTCCCGGGCCAGAGCCTGTCTCCCCTCTGCGTCTGGCCCAAAGCCCCTTCCTCACACCCTGGGAAGCCAGGCTGAGGTCATGGCTCCTGCTGCTGCTCTGCGGCTCACAGTCCGGAACCCGCTACGCGGTGATGAGTATGGTGCCAACAACAAGACCCAGGTCACTCTGAGCGCGGTATTGTCACCACGGGGGGCCTACAACCTGTCTAGGCACCCCTGGGCCAGAAACCCTTGACGGGCTCGGCCCAGCACGCGGGCCCCCGAGCCCCACCTTGAGGTAGGCAGCCTCCGTCTCCGCAATGGTCCGATCGAACTCGTTCCGAGAGGCTATCTTGCGAGCCAGGTTCTCGTTGACTCGGGCCAGCTTCTCCGTCAGCTGCCTCACCTCATTCTGCAGCCGCTGCTTCTCCTCCTCTTCCTGCTGGATCTGCCGGCACAACTCCTCCCGCTTCTGACACAGCTCTTCGATGCCTAGGGTGGGCCGAGAGAGACAGGCGCGGTGGGCCCAGAGCAGAATGGGGAGCACCGCCCCTCCAGCTCTGGAGCCCCCTGCTCTGGAGGAGAGAAGGCTAGTGGATAGTGGAGGACCCGGGTGCCGGATGGGCCACCTTTCGCCCGAGCCAGGCCAATGTCCTGCGTCCGAGAAGTCTCAGAGTTAAGGAAAGCACCGCGCGAGGCTCGAGGCGCGAGGCCGGGAGGCCGTGCGTACTCAAGCCCATCGTCCTCTGCTCACTCCACAGATACCTAGCCCTCGGGGCGGGCCACAACGCGGCTGTGCACTGGGCAGGTCCGCACGGCGTCCGCGCCGCCCCGGCCCGCAAAGCCGCGCACGGACCGTACAACACGCTCGGCCGCGCGCTGCGGGCCAGCTACTGCCCGGGACCGCAGGCCGGCGAGCCCCACGCCCTCCCAGCCTGCCCGGCGGGCCCCACCGCTCGGCCGCTCACACTTGACCAGCTCGTTGTTGTAGTTCTGCAGCGCCGCGCCCTGCTGGGTCATGGTCGCCGTCCGGGGTCCCGGCCGCTCCAACCGCCGTTACCACATCCGGGCCCGCGCCTGCGCACTGCCTACAGACGGCGAGTCCACGGTGTACGTCACCGCCGCGCGCCTCTCGTTTGCGTCATCGCCGCGCGCCGCGCCGGCGGCTCTAGGAGCTGGTGGGAGCAGATGGCGGCGGCGGAAGCGGCGGCGCACAATGACCCCGGACCTGCCCAAGAGCTGCTGGTGGCCTGGAATACCGTGAGCACCGGACTGGTGCCGCCGGCCGCTCTGGGACTGGTGAGGCCCGAGAAGAGGGCAGCGGGCCCGTGCGGGGTTCCCGGGACCCTGCGCGTCCACTCTCGGGTTCATTCGGATCCCTCCGCCCGCTTCTGTCCAGCTTGTTTCCCCCAGAGTCCTTTGTTGTTCCACAGCCTGTCCCTAAGCGTGGGCCCTGCATCCGTGCGACGAAGGGCGGCGGGGTTTCCGTAGCCTCCCCTGTGCTTTGTCCCTTTCCTGTCTATCTTCGTCTGTCCCTGCTTTCTCCACCTCTGCGCTGTGTTCTCTTCTTACAGTTTTCTGTACTCCAGGCATCCTCCCGGACCAGCGGTGCGGTCCCTCCAAAGGAGGAGGAGCTTCGGGCGGCGGTGGAGGTTCTCAGGGGCCACGGTCTGCACTCGGTCCTGGAGGAGTGGTTCGCAGAGGTGCTGCAGAACGACCTGCAGGCTAACATATCTCTCGAGTTCTGGAATGCCGTCTCCCAACGTGAGAACTGTGCAGACGAGCCCCAGTGCCTTCTGCTGCTCCTCGATGCTTTTGGGCTCCTGGAGAGCCGCTTGGATCCTTACCTGCGTAGTCTAGAGCTCCTGGAGAAATGGACTCGCCTGGGCTTGCTTATGGGCACCGGTGCTCAGGGGCTTCGGGAAAAGGTTCATACCACGTTGCGGGGCGTCTTGTTCTTTTCCACTCCCAAAACTTTTCAGGAGATGATCCAGCGCCTCTATGGGCGCTTTTTGAGAGTTTACATGCAGAGTAAGAGAAGAGGAGAAGGAGGAACCGACCCCGAACTGGAGGGGGAATTGGACAGCAGATACGCCCGCCGCCGGTACTACCGCCTTCTGCAGAGCCCACTCTGTGCGGGATGTGGCAGTGACAAGCAGCAGTGCTGGTGCCGCCAGGCGCTGGAGCAGTTCCACCAGCTCAGCCAAGTCCTGTGAGTACTTGTGCCTGCGTGGCCGTGCCCCGTTCCTCCTGGCTCCTGCTTGCCCCTCTGGGTCCAGCTGGCCCCTGCAGAGAGCTGCTGAGCTGGCTGGGGGTCTCTGCCACCTGTCCTGGTAGCCAAAGAGAGGGTCCCCAGGATCCGTGTGTTGTGAGTTTTTACCTTTCACCCTGGACACAGGTGCACCTGTCACTCGCCCTAGCTCAGGGTTTCACGCTTTGCTTATGCTAAGATTCCACGTGATTCCAAATTTCCTGGGCTGTGCAGAGTTTTGCTGTGCTGTTTGTAGGCTCTCAGGAGAGGAATGATGTTTATCCTATGGTTGCAAAAGGCGTGACTGTTCTTTTTTGTCTCTAGAACAAGTGAGAGATTAAATCAACGTGCTGGGCAAACTAATTGCCCTTCTGGCCCGTCGAGGAGGAAAAGATTTTGTTGTCAGAGCCAGGTCCTGTCATGTGGTCCTTCAGCTCTCTGTGGTCACTTATGATGATTTTGTCACTTTGAGTGAAGTGGCAGCAGTGCAGCTGTTAGATAGTTTCTTGGCTGGACTGAGGGTGTGACCGGATCCACAGAAGCTTCGTTCTCTCAGAAGCCTTTGTCCTCACAGATCGGCATCTGCACCAAAGGCACAGACAGCTGCATCTGTGTCTGTGGGGTCAGGGTAGTGACGTATTTAGCCGTTGTCTCAGGGCTGTTTCTGGGAGGTGAGCCTTGGCCCCAGTAGCCAGACGTGCTGACCACGTGGGGAAGGCTAGTGTCCCGGCCTGAGCAGGGAGGCCGGCTGGGGGGGCGGGCGGTCGCTGGCCAGTGCTTGTCTTCACAGCAGCTTTTCCTCAAAGCCTCTGGTGCAGCTGTGCCCCCGGCGGGAGAGCTGTGCGCGGCGCGTGCTGGGGTGGGGTTGGGCGCGTGTGCGCGCGCTCTGCGTTCTCCACGGGCAGGGCTCTCCTCCAGACACAGGCTCAGTCTGCTGGAGCGGGTCAGCGCCGAGGCTGTGACTACCACGCTGCACCAAGTGACCCGAGAGAGGATGGAGGACCGCTGCCGGGGCGAGTATGAGCGCTCCTTCCTGCGTGAGTTCCACAAGGTGAGGACCCCCCGCGGGCTGTGTCCTCGTGGATTAGAGGTTTCTGGCAAAACTGACACCTCGGTTTTAGAAATGGCCAGAGCGTGGAGAGCCGGGTGCGTCAGGACGTTGCTGGTGCTGGAAGTCGTCTTGGTGCTGGGTGGAGGCCAGTTATTCTGGGCCCGTCCTGGTGGAAGCAAGAGCCTGTGACGTGTTTAGTGAGGTCTTCGCGGGGCCACGTTGGCTGGAGGCCGTGCCAAGGTCTGGGGTATCCCAGTGGGGGGCCTCGGGGGCATCCACGCTGTTGGGACATGGTCTGGGATCTGCTCTGGGCTGCACAGAGTCGAGGAAGAGCTGCACCCAACCACGGGGGGGCCTCAGCCCGCTCCCACTTCCCAGCTGCTCCCCTCCCCTGCTCTTGCTCTTGCTCTCTGTTTCCTGAGGGTGCAGGTAAGCTGTGGGGATGAGGGGTGGTGTTCGAATCAAGTGTCCCTGCTACGGGGCGGGGGGGCGGTGTGTGCAGCTGGAGGTCTGGCGGGTAGCTGTGCCGTGCCTAGGCGGCACATCGTCCGGGTGCTCTTTCCGGTGGCTGGGCGGCCGTGGGAAGACATGTACACGCTCAGGTCCGTGTGGTAGGGTGTCCTGTAGATTTCATGTGCACGGGCTCAGAAGCGTTCCCGCTAGGTGCCGTGGGTTGTGCGTGGGGGGGTCTCGTTGTGCATGGGACCCCCAGGGTGTGTCCATCCGCTCAGATGTAGCATCCTGTGTCAGAGCCACTGTTGCTGGGGATGAGCACGGGTGCTGGTGTTTGTGGAAGGGGCCTGGGTGTGTGTTGGTGGAGGCCCTGCGAGGCCTCCTTTGGGCCCCTTGTCCTGCTGATTTTAACGTGCTCCTGGTCTTCAGAGTAGGTGGCCTCGGGGGCTCCCAGGGCCCAGCCAGAGGGGCGGGTAGCTGTGTGGCTTCTCCTCGTCCTGTTCTGGGCTTGGCCCCCAGAGTCCCACACTTGTGTTCTCCCGACAGTGGATTGAGAGGGTGGTTGGCTGGCTGGGCAAGGTGTTCCTGCAGGACGGCCCCAGCAGGCCTGCGTCCCCAGAGGCTGGGAGCTCCCTGCGCCGGTGGCGCTGCCACGTGCAGAGGTTCTTCTATCGCACCTACGCCAGCCTGCGCATCGAGGAGCTCTTCAGCATCATCCGAGGTCAGCCCCACCTGCCAGGGAGCCGCCTTCCTGCGCCTCTGCCCTTCAGCTCATTGAGGGTGGGGCGGCGGGCACATCTGGGCCCTTTGCGCACAGTGCGTGCTCGCCACATGTGCACGTGCCAGGACCAGCCTCTCCCCGCAGACTTCCCGGACTCCCGGCCGGCCGTGGAAGACCTCAAGTACTGCCTGGAGAGGACCGACCAGAGGCCGCAGCTTCTTGTGTCCCTCAAGGCTGCCCTGGAGACGCGACTCCTCCACCCAGGTGCCGCCGGGGCGAGGCCCACCCGCCATTCACCCTCAGGGCCCGGATCTGGAAGCCCAGGCCTGGGGCCTGTGGAGGGAGTGGGTTTAGAGGCAGTTTTGTGTGGTCCTTCGGGGACAGGGGCAGTGCCAGGTCCCTTTAGAACAGACCCCACTTTGCAAGGGCAGAAAGCGAGTGAGTGCAGGGGTAGCGACGGGGACAGCTCCCTGCAGATCACGCGGGTCTCCTGGGGGTGAGGTGGGACTTGCAGGTCGCCTGACCAGGGTGGCTGCCTCCGTGTCCCTGTGTTGCCTGGGCCCTTCTGTGATGGAGCTTTCCCGTCCCGGCCGTAGGCGTGAATACGTGTGACATCATCACCCTGTACATTTCCGCCATCAAGGCGCTGCGTGTGCTGGATCCCTCCATGGTTGTCTTGGAGGTGGCCTGTGAGCCCATTCGCCGCTACCTGAGGTGAGCTCCAGGGCCCCACTCGTGCAGCTGCACTCCCCGTGGGTCTTGCTGCAGCCAGAGGGGTGTGGTCCTTGGGGAGCCAGGGACGCTCCATGTCCCCTCCTGGGCCGGGCAGCTCAGGCTGGGCTCCTTCCTCCTGCCAGCGCTGGTTCCCACGCCTGTGGCCCAGGGTCACCAGGCCCGTGTGCAGGCCGCGGGGCCCACACCAGCACAGACAGGTGGCCCTGCTCGCTTTGCCTCGCGCCAGCCTGGCTCCAGGACTGACGGGAAGGGTGGGGCCTTGCGTTGCTGGCCTTCTACCGAGAGGAGCAGAGCCTCTCGGGCTGTCTGCCGGGGGATGTGTTTGAGCAGGCGCCACGCACAGCCACCCAGAAACCCCTAAGCGCACAGTGGAGGCTCGGGGATGGGGCCGGGCAGCGTCTGGAGCTGCCCTGACTCAGGCCTGCTGCCTCCTGGCCGGGCATGGCCTGGCCTTGTGTCTGTTGTCTCACCTCCTCCTCCTAGGAAATGATTTAGCTTTAGGGGTGGCGGGGCGGGGGAGGGAGTGTCACGGGCTTGCCTTTAGCACGTGACTGACGGCCCTGGCTGCAGGGGTCAGGCGGGGTCCCGTGTTCAGGTGGGACAGGCGGTGAGGGGCTCGTGCCTGACAGGACGCGGGAGGACACGGTGCGGCAGATCGTGGCAGGGCTGACCGGGGACTCGGATGGGACGGGGGACTTGGCTGTTGAGCTGTCCAAGACGGACCCGGCCAGCCTGGAGACCGGCCAGGACAGCGAGGATGACTCCGGCGAGCCAGAGGACTGGGTTCCCGACCCTGTGGACGCGGATCCAGGTCAGCGCCTGCCGGCCCTGCTGCCAGGCTCTGGATTTCGGGGGGTAGTCCAGTCGGGCAGGCGCTCTGGTCTCCAGTCTGTTGCCACGTGGGCTCTGGAGCTCCAGGGGATCCATGGTCAGAGTGTAACCCCGCCTGGTTCCCCAGGGTTCTCCACCTGGCTTGGGTGGTGTCCCCGCCCAGACCCGTGGGAGGGTGCCCTGCCTGCCTCACCTGCTTCTGCCGCTTCAGCTGGAGAAGGAGTGGGTTTTCGGCATCCCCACCTCACGGGCTTGGCCGGGCACGAGCTGCCTGGCACCATCTGTGCCGCCTCCGTGTCTGAGAGGCGCCGGTGGTGCCCGTGCCGTGCAGGGAAGTCCAGCTCTAAGCGGCGCTCCTCGGACGTCATCAGCCTGCTGGTCAGCATCTACGGCAGCAAGGACCTCTTCATCAACGAGTACCGCTCGCTGCTGGCCGACCGCCTGCTGCACCAGTTCAGTTTCAGCCCCGAGCGGTGAGGCCTGTGAGGTGCCACTCCGGGTCCCCAGGGAGGGGTGGCCTTCACTCGCAGTGGCTGCTCTCTGTTAGCCCTGGTGCACATCGGGGATGCGCTGGGTCCCCGAAACTGGGCGGGGACTGACCTGTGCTTGGCCTCTGCCCCCCGGGGGAGGGGGGGCCTGGGGGCAGCCGAGGAGCCTGGGGCGGTAGGTCCCAGGGCTTCCGGCCCTCCTGGGGTGGAGTGGGCACAGGGCTCCCACCTCTCCTCCTGGGCTGGGGGTGTCCCTGCTCCGGGGATGGGGGGATGGGGGGGCAGTGTCGCTCTGTAGGTGCCAGTTGGGGTGGGGGCACACCGCAGCCCTCAGAGTTGCGTCCTTCCAGAGAGATCCGCAACGTGGAGCTGCTGAAGCTGCGCTTTGGCGAGGCCCCAATGCATTTCTGCGAGGTCATGCTCAAGGTAGGTGCCTGGGGCTCCCCGCCACCGCCTGGCCCCTACCCCTGTCAGTCCCGGACCTTCAGGAGGCCCCGTCTCCCCCACAGGATATGGCAGACTCGCGCCGCATCAATGCCAACATCCGTGAGGAGGATGAGAAGCGGCCCGCAGAGGAGCAGCCGCCGTTCGGGGTCTACGCCGTTATCCTCTCCAGCGAGTTCTGGCCGCCCTTCAAGGATGAGAAGCTGGAGGTTCCCGAGGACATCAGGGAGGCCCTGGAGGTGTACTGCAGAAAGTACGAGAAGCTGAAGGTATGGCCGCGCCGCTGGGGCACCGGCACCTCGGACGAGTCCCTCCCCTCCCCTCCTGGGAGCCTGTCTGTGCAGGTGTGCACTCTCTGCACACCCTCCTGTGCCCCCAAGGCGCTGGGAGTGGGCGTGTCCCTGGGCTGCCTCTTCCACCGTCCGCCCTCTTGGCCTCAGAACCAGGAGCTGGGCTGCAGGGATCGCCCCAGGGGGAGTCGGGGGCTCTGTCTCTCCCGTGGGCGTCTCCAGGTTGCTTTTGAGGTGTTTGACCTCTATGATCCTCCGCCATCTTGCCCCTCCTTGGCTTGTTTCCCTGGCAGCTGCTTTCTGGAGTGCCAGGGCACTTGGGGACCCAGACCATGCTGTCTGCTGTTAGGTCCCTGGGGCCACAGGGCTCGGCGAGGAGAAGGGGGTGTGTGGGCTGGTCAGGAGGCCGGGGGTCAGGAGGCCAGGGGCCAGGAGTGGCCGATTGGCAGAGTTCATCGCTCGTCCCCTCCAGTCCTGGCGTTGGGAGTCCAGGTGAGAGGTGTGGGCAGGTGGAGCCTGGTGTGGGCAAGGGTCCGTGGCACGGAGGACCCTCCTTCCAGGTGATGGTTCAGAGGAGCCGTGTTGGGAAAGAGGAGGGAGTTTGGGACACCTGTCCCAGGTTTCAGGGGACAGGTGGAGAAGTGGGTTCTGGGGCGTTCAGTCTGATGAGTGGGGTGTGGGGCCCTGAGAGGCCACCGGCCGGAGGAGACGCCAGGCACCCAAGCAGAGGACAGGGCCGCAGGTGTCCAGGGTGCAGACCCTGAGCCCTCGAGGGACCTGGGACACCCCTGGAGGTGGGAGCCCTCAGGACAGAGCCCCAGGAGGGCGGCAGGTGGGGCTGGGCCGGGACCCTTCCTGCCCCTGCGTGGGAGGTGGTGCTTGCTCTGTGGGGCCTCGGCGCTGCCCCGCCCCCACCCCCCAGTTGAGGACGTCCACGTGGCCCACCCGTGTGCTCGGCACCCTCCCCTGCTGCTCTGGCTGCCCTGCTGGCCTCTGCGCCGCAGCTCGCCTGCCTGGAGAGGCCCCGCCGGCTTCCTCCGCAATTCCCCCTGGGGCCTGGGGGTGTCTCAGGCGTGCCCTCCATCTCAGGCCGTGGACCCGGCATGCCAGCGCTGGAGCGGCCGGGCAGGCCCCCAGTCTGTGCCAAGAGGTCAAGCCTGTGGCCACGGTGCCTCTGCTTCCCGCCAGCCGGGCTCCTGGTCCGAGGGCTGCACTGGACACGTGCGGTGGCCGCGCCTGTGCCGTCTGCCGCTGGGCCTCGCGTGTGCCCGCTGCAGGCCGGAGTGGTTGTAAAGGTCGTGGCCTTGGAGCCAGAGAGCGTGGTTACGAGCTTTGCCAGCTGCCAGCTGTAGAGAGGTTAGCTGTCGCCCCCCTTCAGAGCTGGGGGCGTGAAGAAGGGCTCAGAGCAGCCAGTGTCCGCCAGGCCGGCCCTGACGAAGTGCCCCAGACAGGCGCCGTCGGTGCATCGGAAATTTATTGTCTCAGTTCTGGCAGCCAGCAGTTCAAAGCCAAGGTGTGGGCAGGGCCGCGCTCCCTCCAAAGGCTCCAGGGGAGGATCCTCTTGCCTCTTCCAGCTGCTGGGGCTCCAGGTGTTGTCGGCTTGTAGAGGCGTCACTCACCCCTGCATCGTGCCCCATGGCCTCTCCTGGTGTCTCTGTGTCCACGTTCTCCTCTTCTTACGGGGACACCAGTCACACTGGATTAAGGGCCCCCCACGCCAGTGTGACCTCACCTTTACTAGCTGCATCTGTAGTGACCCGACTGGCGAATAGGGTTACCTTCCGAGGCACCGGGGCTGAGGACTTTAACTTCATTTGTGGAGGTCACAGTTCAGCCTGTGAGAGTCTACTCTCTGGCCCCCCAAATTCACGTTCTCCTCACGTGCAAGATACATTTAGCCACGTCCAGCGTCCCCAAATTTTAACCATTCTGCTACCAACTCAAAGTCCCAGATCTCTAAGTCAGGTCAGGGTGAGAGCTGGGGCACAATTCTCCTTCAGCTGTAAACCTATGAATAAATCTCTCTCTGCTTCCGAAGTCCAGTGGTGGGACAGGTGTTGGGCAGACACCTGCCCTCCAAAAGGGAGATACTGGAAGGAAGGGAGGGTTCCCAGGCCCTAAGCAAATCTGAATTCCACTGGAGGAAATTCCACTCCATCTGGCTGGGTGCCAGTCTTCTCTGCCCTCGGGGGCAGCCCCACCCTGCCAGGCCAGGCCTCTGCAGCACGGCCCTGCCCTCGGAGTCATGCTCTCCCTTTGGCCATCCCTCCCTTTCCACCCAGGCTGGCATCGTTTCCACTGCTATTAAATTCTCAGGAGCCTTGTTGGCCTCCGTACAGTTCTCGGCGTCCAGTCCGTGGGCCTGGGGGCTCTCACACCTCTACTGGCCCCTCTCTGTCCTGGCTCCTGGGCACTGCTGGTTGGTGCCATCTTGACACAGGTCACCTCTAGGGCCATACAGGCTCTGTCTGCAGAGCACACAGCAAGATGTGCAAATCCCCCAGTGCTGCTGGCTCCTTTCTGCTCACCAGGTCCTCCCTCGGTTTTCCCTCTCAATTCACTACGAGCGGTGAGGAGAAAGCAGGCTGCACCTTCCATACTTTGCTTGGAAATCTCAACCTAACGTCCAGGTTCCTCCCTCGCGAGTTCTGCTTTCCACCCAGCAGAGCACGTCTCTGCCGCCGTGTGACGGGTCGCCTTTCCTCCCATCTCCGGTGATGTGTTCCTTGCTTCAACAGGCCTCATTGGAATGGCCTTTCCTGTCTGTGTTTCTACCAGTAGCCTCTCCAGGGCAACCCAGGATTTTATGAGCCTGCAGCTCAAAACTTTCCCAGCCTTCCCCATCCCCCAACACCACAGCCACGTCCACGTGTTCTAAAAAGGTATTTGCTACAGCAGCACCTTCCCCTCCAGCTGAAGTCTGTATCGCTGTCCCGTGGTGGCTGTAACAAAGTACCCACGCCAGGTGCTAAAACAGGAACTTCTCTCGGCTCTGGAGGCCAGGGTGTGAGATGGAGGTGAGGGCCTTCTGGAGGCTGCGGGCGAGTCCTCCCTGCCTCTTCCGGCCTCCAGGGGCACCTGTGTCGCTCCAGCCTCGCACGCCGTCTGCCCTCCCGCGAGGACACTTACCGAGTTAGATTAGGGTTTGCGGTACTCCAGCACGACCTCTTCTTCCCTAACGACATTTGCAAAGGCCTAGTGTCCAAGTCAGGCCACTTTCTGGGGTCCTGGGGCCAGGACGTGGACGTTTCTCTCAGAGGCGCAGGGGCCCTCGCTGTTAGGGGTGCCGGGGGAGGGGGAGGGGACTGGAGTCCCGCCGTGTGCTGGTCCCGTCGCTGCCCGCCAGGGTGGGGGCAGGTCAGGGAGCCCTTCCTCACCCGGTCCCAGGTAGCAAAGCCTTGTCCAGCTGGACCCGCTGGGTGGCCCGTGCTGACCCCAGCCCTCCCCAGGCCATGCGGACGCTCAGCTGGAAGCACACCTTGGGCCTAGTGACCATGGATGTGGAGCTGGCTGACCGTACCCTGTCCGTGGCGGTGACCCCTGTGCAGGCGGTGGTCCTGCTGTACTTCCAGGACCAAGGTGAGCCCCCAGCCGCCCTGCTCTGGCCGCGCCTCCCGGGAGGGCACCGTTCTGTGTCCGGTGGAGGGTGGAGGGTGGAGGGTGGGTGGGACCCAGGCAGCCCGAGCCATGCGGGCAGCAGCCCCCCCCGCCCCGCCCCGTCCCCCCCCACCCCCCACCCCCGCCGCTGGGGCCTGGCTGTGCCCTGAGGGTCTTGCCGGTCCTGCCCCGCCCACAGCCAGCTGGGCGCTGGAGGAGCTGAGCAAGGTGGTGAAGATGCCCGTGGCACTGCTGCGGCGGCGCGCATCAGTGTGGCTACAGCAGGGCGTGCTGCGAGAGGAGCCGGCCGGCACCTTCTCGGTGGTGGAGGAGGAGCGGCCCCAGGACCGGGACAGCATGGTGCTTGTCGACAGCGACGACGAGAGCGACTCGGGCATGGCCTCGCAGGCCGACCAGAGGGAGGAGGAGCTGCTGGTGCGCACGGGGCCCAGGCCGGGCGGGGGCGGGGGGGGGGGGTGTGCCGCCCAGCGCGGCCTGACCGCCGGCCCCGGCCGCCGTGCCCGCAGCTCTTCTGGACGTACATCCAGGCCATGCTGACCAACCTGGAGAGCCTGTCGCTGGAGCGCATCTACAGCATGCTGCGCATGTTCGTGGTCACCGGCCCCGCGCTGGCCGAGATCGACCTGCAGGAGCTCCAGGGCTTCCTGCAGAGGAAGGTGCGCGACCAGCAGCTCGTCTACTCCGCCGGCGTCTACCGCCTGCCCAAGAGCTGCGGCTGAGCCGCCGCCAGTCCCCACCCAGCCCCCAGGACGACAGTAAAGCAGACGGTTCTTCCTCCCTCCCTGTCCTGCTGGCTCTGTGGGCTTCGTGGGCATGCGGTCAGGTTCTCCCTCCAGACCAGCCTCTGACAGAGCCTGGCAGAGCCCGGGCCCCAGGAGTCGGTGGGGAGCTGCACACCTGTGTTTGGGCTCCAGGCCGGGAGTCCTGGCACGTGGTATCTCTGGGCCTCCATGGCTGACAGAGGCCCCCGTCACTCTCGTGGCTTGGGCAGGAGCTCACGGGGGGTGGGCTGTCTGGGAGATGGGCCCTCCTGGGCCGCCCCCTGAGGGACATCCAGCTCCAGCCTCACCCCTCTGGACTTTGAAAGAAGCCCTCGGGTCCCCCTCTCTCTGCCTGGCACGAGGGTCTGGCGCCCAAGTGCTGGGCTGAGAGCCCCAGGGCTGCTGCTGCGGCCCGGGGTGGGGGGCTCCATCAGAATGCATGAGGTGGGCGGGTGGCCAGGCAGCCCGTGTGAAGCCAGGAACTTCTTGCGTGTCCAGCATGGCGTGCTGCCTGGGATACGCCTAGGCTCGGGCAGCTGCAGTGCTGGGGGCTTCCAAGGAAGAGTGCTTTCAGAAAGGCCAGTTCTTTCTGTGCCCGGAGGCATGTGGTCAGGAGCGCCCAGGGGCCTCAATGTTCCTAGCACAAGATGCCGGGCCCAGTGAGTCCAGCCATCCCCAGAGCTGCAGCACAGGGCTGTTGTGTCCGGAGCACAGGGTCCTGTCCAAGGCCGGCACTGGGGGCCCCGCACTGCCCTTACTCCCAGGTCCCAGGAGGCGGGGAGGCTGTTAGCTCTGCCAGGCCCAAGGCCTTCAAAGCTGTGCTCGGTGCCACAGCCTCCGTGGCCCAGACCTTCACTTGTCCAGCGGGAACCGCTCGAGCCCGGTGGCGCTGTCCCCACGGCAACAAAGGCCCTTTGGAACGAATGTCTCCACTGCCCTGCTCCTCCCTGTGGTGCATTCCCAGGCCTGGAGCCATGCCCGCTGCCCCGCAGACACGCTGCGGCTCCCCACCAGTCTGTGCCCCGGTGCCCCCACTCCGCTCTTTGGCCTGTTCTGCTCGAGGGCCCTAGTGTCAGTCCTGCTCTGGGGCTTTTCTTTCTTCTGCTTCTTGGCTGTGCTGTGCAGTTTCTGGGACCTCGGTTCCCCACCCAGGGATTGAACCCAGGCCACAGTAGTGGAAGCCCGCAATCCGAACCCCTAAACTGCCAGGGAGCTCCCTCTAGGGCTTTTCCTTCTTGCTCCACAGGGTGGTGTTTGCTGTGGGATTTGGAGAGATTAGCTGCATAGCCTTAGCAGTTTGAGGACTCTTGACAGGCCAGTGGGTCCCTGCCTTGGGCTCCACCTGCTTGGCCCCTCCAAGGCGGGCTGCACTGTGGTCACAAGAGGGGCTTGGGACTTCCCTGGTGGCGCAGTGGTTAGGAATCCGCCTGCCAATGCAGGGGACACGGGTTTGAGCCCTGGTCCGGGAAGATCCCACATGCCGTGAAGCATCTGGGCCTGCGTGCCACAACTACTGAGCCTGTGCTCTAGAGCCCGCGAGCCACAACTACTGAGCCCGAGTGCCACAACTACTGAAGCCTGTGCACCACAACTACTGAGCCTGCGCTCTAGAGCCTGGGAGCCACAACTGCTGAGGCCCTTGCGCCTGGAGCCTGTGTTCCTCAACAGGAGAAGCCGCTGCAATGAGAAGGCCCCGCACCGCCACAAAGAGTGGCCCCGGCTCACTGGAACCAGAGAAAGCCTGCGCGCAGCGGCGAAGACCCGACACAGCCAAAAATAAATAAAATAAAAAAGTAATAAAGACACTTAAAGAAAAAAAAGAAGAGGGACTTCCTGCCTGGCACTGGGCTGGGCATGCCTTCGTCATCCTAACCAGGATGCAGACCTGCTGGACTGGCCTGGCAGGGTGGCAGTGCCAGCCGCTGGGCCGGGACACACCTGCCCTGAGTCCCTTTGGACTCAGTTTGTGGATGAGTGTGGTAAAACCCAGCGTCTCAGGCCATAGGATCACTCAACAGGTGTAGAGGTGTGCCAGGAGCTGCCACCAGGAGGGGGCACCTGTGTGAGGGTCAGGGAGGTCCCCAGTGACCAGGGGTTGGCTGCGGCCCAGCGGGGCACCCCCCACCCCCCAGTGCCCTGTGGGGTTAGCCGTGTGGGGGGGGCAGGTATTTGCTTCTGCTGCCTGGGTTTGCTCGGCAGGTCCTTAGGGGAGGAGGCTGAGTTTAACCCCAGCCATGCCAGCCTCCTGTGGACAGCGCTTGCCTGGTCTGCGAGAGGCTGCACGGGGGACAGACTGCAGCGGTCGTCGTGAGCTCTAACTGTAATGACACACTTAAGCCAGAGCCCCAGCCACCTGCTCCTTGAGGGTGTTCTGCGAAACACTGCTGGGGCCCGTATGGGGCGGTGGGTGCGTGTCCACTCCCCGGGCCTCACTTGGTCCCTGCTTGTTCCAGTCTTGGGGGGAGGGTGGTGACATCAGTCAGCTGGAGCCCAGGCCCCACCTAAGCTGCCGCAGCCCTTATCCTGACAGGGAAACTGAGGCCCAGGCTTGCCCACTATGGACCCCTCTGGGTTTCCAGGCCGCTGCCTCTGCGACCCCAGGGTCCCAAGTGCAGCCACTGCCCCTTTGCTGTGAAGCGCTCTCCTTCCAAGACCACGGCAGCCCCACCACTGCCCCTGCCTCAGATCTGACCAGGGCACTCTGGAGTGACTCCCAGGCCCCGGCCGCCCTACCTGCCCTACCTTGGGGCTGCCTGCCCAGGGCTTCTCGGAGCCCAGCACCTGAGGGCGGTGCCCAAGGCGAGGCCCTGCCCCCACCCTCCCTGCCTCACAGCTCCATTGTGAGGTCAGCGCCTTCCGATGAGTTCTGTCCAGAGGCGTGGAGATGGCCCCCTGTCCCCAGCCTGACTCCTGCCTGGTTGGCCGCTCCCTTGGCCTGATATGTTTGTCCCTTTTGCTCATCCCTGCTGCAGGTGCCTCCTTCTGTTCCCCAACCCTGTCCCCAGCCAGGGCCCCTCCCTGGTTCAGGCAGGCCAGGCGCACCCGTGTCCTTCTGGTGGCTGCCGGGGGTGGGAGGGCGGGCTTGGGGGTGACCCACTGGGAGGTGACGACAGCCCCTTGGCCCTGTCTCTGCAGCTGGAACCTACTGTGAGTGTAGCTTTGGCCTCAGTCGCGAGGCCCTCATTGCCCTGCTGGTGGTGCTGGCGGGTGTCAGCGCCAGCTGCTTCTGCGCTCTCATCATCGTGGCGGTTGGCGTCATTCGAGCCAAGGGGTGCGTGAGCCCCAGGGCCAGGGCGGGCGTGTGAGGGCTGTGGGGCCGGGCCGTCCCCCTGGGCCCTTGGTCTCGATGGGCGAGGTCACCAGGGGCTTGGGAATGGAGTCTCCCAGAATGGGATGGGGAGAGGTGTGGGGAGCACCGCTGGGCTCCTGGAGGCCAACCCCACTGTTCCCAGACTCACGCCTTACCTTTGTTCCTTCCCGCCCCTCAGTGAAACATGCCCCGGACACATGGAGAGCAGGTGAGTGACCCCGGGGGAGGACCCCCAGGGCGAGCTGTGCCCCTGCTCCCTGACCCCCCACCCCCGGGAGGTGTGGTTCACAGACACGGCAGGAGCCCCGGGTGGTTGAGGCCTCATGAGCCCATGCTGATGGCCGCCTGCAGCTAGCCTGACCTGGAGCACGCTGTGCAGGTTGGTGGGGCACTGCGGGGCTCAGGAAGATCACATGGACCTGCACGCGGTGCACATGGGGTCCCACCTCATGGCCCCTGAAATGGAGGTCTCCATGATGCCGCCCCTGGAAGATCATGGCCTCACGACCATCACCGTGGACTCGACCCTAGAGGAGCTGCCCCCACAACCCCTGCCGCCTCAGTAGGGCTTTGGGTAGCTGGGGGAAGGGGAATTAAACAGTAGTTAGCAGGTCTGCGTTGTCCTCCCTGCTGGCCCCCCTCGAGCCCTTCTGCATATGCTATTGGGGTGGGGGAGGGGTCTGCGTCGCCTCCTGTCTCTTCAGTGGGGTGCCCAGTGCCCATGCTGGGCTCCCGCTGTCCACCCTGCAGGGCAGGGAGCACACCCCTGGGGTTTCCACTTCCTGCCATCGTGGCGTCAGCCCAGCTCCTCCCTGCATCTTCCTGCTGCTTTGTCCCATGAAGCAGACAGCGCCCCCCCCGCCCCCCATGAGCCCCTGCCCATCCCACCCCCACCCCCACCCCAGGAAAATGCCGGGACAGGACCTGCAACTCTGGTGAGTCCAGAGGGAGCAGCATGCGGCAGGAGGACTTGGGCGGGTGCCCCTGCTCCACCACACTGCCTCCTCGAAGTTCCGGCAGAGTCCTTGGTGGGCAGGGTGGGGCAGATGTGATGGCCTCGCCTTCCTCAGGCGTGCAGCCCTCCCTCTACCTCACTGCCTGTCCCCTGGGTTCAGGCCCCCATCCTGTGCTTGTGCCCCATGAGGATGGGAGCATCCCTGGGGGGGCTATTGGATATGCACACTAGAATCCCGGCTGAGAGGAGGCGGTGGAGACTCGGGGGAGGAGCGGGTAGCACTGGGTCCTCTTCCGCGTGTCGCAGCCATGAGTTCAGTGGAGGTGAGGCTGCGGGGGCGGCGGTGTGGTCCAGTTGCCCAGGCCTCAGCCGGGTGCGGGGCGGTGGACCACGCAGGTGAGGAGGGGGTGGCGCCTTGTCAGTGCTGCTGCTGGCGCGGAGCCAAGAGGAGCTCAGAGCTTCAGGACAGGTGGCTGGCAGTGCCGGGCGCTGGCTATGTGCCCAGCCTCCGCCCTAGGCACGGGACCAGCCGTGGGACGGACGGGCTCCCGGGACGCCTGGGCAGCTGGCCTCCTACCGTTGCCCCCATGCGGAGCCCCTCCTTTCTCTCGCGACGGCCGCCGCCGCTGTTCCTACTGCTGCTGTCGCCGTGGCCAGTCTGGATCCAGGCGCCCCCCGCAGCCGCCCCCGCGGCAACCCCGGGCGCCCCGGACTGCCCCGAGGCGTGCGCGTGCGCGCCAGAGGGCCAGGCC